CAAATTCAAGATATCTGGAGTGATCAGATATTTGCGAAATCATGAAGTGATGAGAATCGGGACATATTTAGATTACCTGCAATACATTCAGCTTCGCAATTTCCGCCGCTTTTGTAATAACCATTCGTTCTGGTTGCGTGAAAAATGCGGGAACGCTGATGACCACATCACGAATGCTTTGCTAAAATACTAGTTTCAAGAAAGTTGGAAATTTGACGAAGCATGTGGAATGCTAATTAACAAGATGATGTCACAAACCTCAGCGTAAGCTTCTGTAAACTCTCGCACATGCGTTAACATCATGGCCAGAAGCGTCTCTACAGGATAATTAGTGTCGCTAAAAATTATGAACAAAGATTTCTTACAAAAAAAGAGTGTGAAAGAAGCGATCGTACCCTATCGGGAAAACCACTGCACTATTGTTGACATGCTTCTCCAGCTTCAGATGTGGAAACCGCTGTCGATACATTTCCACTGATGGATGATTGACATGCTTCGCAACCAAATCGTAAAGATGACTATAAACGCTAGCCGGATATCGGGCGGCCAGGCCTTGAGCTGCATCCCCAAAGAGCCTAGAAGAGATGGAATGCGAAAGGGATGAACATGTACGGATATGATACCTTTCACCATTTCGGATGGATAGCACATTCGGCGTTTTCCGACGGGATTCCTTGTTGAGGACGATTTCCATGGGCACTCCGGGCTTGATAAAACCGACCTACAATCAAATTCGATAGAAAAATCAAGTCAAAGCAAAATTTTGAATTTCAAAAGTGATAGTGGAAGAGCACGGAAAATTATAAACACAAAAGCTCACTTTAATGAATTGACTACCCAGATCAATTGACATAGCACCATATTGTCCTTCTAAAAAAGAAATCAAAGTCTCAGAGAAATCAAACCGTAAATAGAAGTTGAAAAAACTTACCAGCACTAGATGCTAACAATGAAAGAACAAAAAATGCCAAGCACAACGTCCTCCACCGAACGTCGCCCATTTTTACCCGCCTAAACAAACAAATTCCCCAAGATGGAAAAATCATTTGATGACCTTCTGGAAAGTGCTTTGACGATACTCATCAAGCAGAATGGAAAGCACAAAACATGTAATTCGATCGATCTGCTGGATTCAAGCAGAAATTCCAAAGATAAATAAGCACACATAGAAAAGTACAACTGCGAGAGTTGCAATCGATGCGAAAAGAGAAAGGGCGGATATCTAATGGTGTGGAATTTCGCGAATCAAAGGCAAGAAATTGACAAAAGCCATAAAAATGACATATAAGTTGATATTAGACCATCTGGATGATACCAGTGCGTATAGCACGAATGAAAACAACATCGTATAACACATTTATGTA